TTCCTAAAACACTATAATCATCTTTTTTAATATCTTCTCTCTCTTTTTTACTTGATTATGGTTGATGGAATATCTATAAGGATAATTTAGAAAAACTGATAAATATGAAAAATATATCTTATATTTATGATCAAAATCAACTGAACAATTAGGTTCTATATTAAATACCGGAAAAGTGTTATAAAATCACCCCAAAAAACCAAACATAGTCTGATTTAAATTGCAAATGAATGCAAAAATTATATTGAATAACCTCTAATTAAGGCCACTAAAAGTCTAAAAGTGAGGTAAAAAAAAAAAAGAAAAACAGCAAAATCGCTTTTAAAGTATTGAGAATTTGTGATCAAATTTTTACATTTAAAAAGGGAATTGAAATTTTTAAAGACGTGGAGAGTATACAACAAAAAGTGAAAAGTAGGAAGTAGTAGCTAGGGGCCTAGGGTTTGTGAAAGTGGGGCGGAGGAGACAAGAGGAGGAAAGTGAAAAGACAAGAGAATCAAGAGCAAGCAAGAAGGCAGGGGAGGTGTCTCCGTCTCAGCTCTGCGCTTTGATTCATGATTAGGGTTTTAGTTCTGAGACCAATGTCCTCTCTGGGGCCCACTCTCCCATTGGCCATCCCCTTGACAGCTGTGTCTCTCCTCACTCTGCTCTGCCCCATCACCGTCCTTAATGGGCCCCACACTCAATTCAAAATACACTCCCCACGTATTCTTAGTTTTTTTCCCCGGCGAACTACAAATAAAAATATTTGACAATTTTTAAAAGTGTTTTTAAAAAGTATTTTTTTACAAAATAAAATAAACTCTTCTATATATTTATTTTGTAAACTGTAAAAATACTTTTAAAATCATGATTTCAGATTTTAATTTCATCCAAACAGTATTGAAATCATGATTTTAAAAATATTTTTACAGTATATAAAATAAATATATATAAAAAATTATTTTGATTTGTAGAAAAATATTTTTAAAAATGATAGGACGGATTTATGTGGACTGCGACTCGACCACTTACACTGCTGCATTCTCAAAAAAATCAAACCCATAACTTTTGATTAAATTGGAATAATTTTTACCAGTTATTTCTAATTTTTATTTGCGTGTATAACCTCCTGAAAATCTTAAAATTTCTAATTTTTTGCCACTCGGATGCCAAATAAGGGAAGAAATATAAAAATAATTTCTGAATAAAAAGAAAATTTTAAAAAAATTAAAATTAAACTTTTTTGTCAATTTAATTCAATCCTTGTTTTGTTAGAATATCTTATAAGTGAGCTACATATCAAGGATCTAAATGGCAATTTACAAATTTTTTTCTTTCAAATTTCTAACTCTCTCTCATCTTTGTTATAAGTCAATTTTAATTAATTTACCACACAGTTAAAAACATTAACTTTTCATTTATAATGGATTAACGTAAATACCATACATTTACCTAGTGCCTACTACCTAAGATTAATAAGTGACAGCTTATACTATTTAATATCGCTCCTTATACTTTTAATTATTAATTACACCGAATAAACTATATAATTATAACACTAATGATGCATTGAAAATTTTTATGTCTCTGAAATTTTGATATAAAAAATAAAGTGCGTGATACATATGTGTGTGTTATGTATTTTTATTCTTTTGTTTTTTGAATTCTCATAGTATCTTATTTGATGATGAATGTGAAAATTTCAATTCTCCAAAATAGTTAGTTATGGGGTTGAGGGAGGATCTTGGAACAAAAACTGAAAATGCCAAAATTAAGAAACAGTAAGAAAGCATGTAATTTGAATTAAAAAACTGATGACATTACTAACAAAGTGATAATTGAGATAGTAAGTAGTTCCATCCTATAAAGAGAGAAGCACAGGTTCGAATTCATGAAAACTTATTTATTGAGAAAGCTTTAATCCAAATATTTTAGGCCCAACAAATATTAATTTCAAGTCTGAAGTATCATTAAACTAATAATTAAAAATTACAGGCTAAATTTTTAAAATATTACATCCTATGGGTTGAAAAATATTGTATTACTACATTTGATTTTTAATATAAGACGTTGTTTGACTTTTGCTTTGGTTCTAAGAGAGTGTTTGGATGAAAACAAACCATAGTTTGAAGAATAGCTTCTGAATAATAGATTATGTGGAGAATAGATTTTGTAAAAAAGTGATTCTGAAGTAAGAGTGTTTGGATAGTTGTTATCAGAAGTACTTTTTATATATACATAAAAAATAGATTTTATGATATATTTTAATTTGAAGGAATAAAATTGTTAATAATATATATTTTTACCAACATAATTAATAATACATAAGATAATATAATTGATAAATAATTAATATGTGTATATATATTTATAAGATATAAGATTAAATATGTTTATAAAAAAATAATTGAGGGATGTTAAAGTCATATTATTGTTGAGATCTAGTCTGACAGGTACAATCATATTCTTCGATTTGAGCCAGAAGCAGAATGGATTCACTTCTTCTGAAATCATGGTTTTGGGTTACAAAACCATGATTTTGGCCTAAACCATGGTTTCAGATTATTTCTCCAAAATTGATGCTATTTGAATGACATCCACCCAAACTATGGTTTTGCCTCCCAAACCATGGTTTTGGAAGGCACCGAAACAGGATCTTAATATAAGATCCCAATCCACTTTGCCTTTTATATTTATGTATTTTTTTCCAAGATAATTTTTCTAACAATAATAGTTTTAGCCAGTACATTTGATTAGTAATGATATTTCAAGAAGGATAATACCTATTTATTACAAATAACTAACTTAATTTCTTTTTTTAATCTCCTTAAATTAGTCAACTAACTCTTATAAATAGGACCAGAGGTAATATTTTCATTGCGGTGTTAGGATAATTTTCATTTCTGGCTAGGAAATTAACTCTCTGTATTATGAACTTAATTGGCTATGTTAAGATCACACTAAGTTTTTACATGAATTTTTAAATTTTAATTTAAATATGAAAAAATCATAGTAAATTTTGCAAAAATAATAATAACTACAAATTAATAATTAATAAATAAATTGAAAGAGCATGGATATTAAATAGTGTCGAAAAATATAGTAATTTTTTATAAGTCTTTAGAAGAATTGTAAATAATATTATAATCGTTATATGATTGACAATATTAATGACAGATGCCCACCTTACCCACCATTTCGGCTGGGATTCGTTTTCCATGGCGACTGATCCTTTCCAACCCATCGCTTCTTCTTAACCCTACCTTTTTTTTTTTTTTTAATTTTATCTACACGCCAATTTTTTTAATAAAAAAACTGGCCTGTGAATTCACAATTTTTTAAGTTAGTCTGTTGTAATTACTTTATTAAATAAAATCAAAGGAAGATCAATGGTGATGAATCCACACGCAAAGGCCCAACTAGATCTAGATTTTATAATTTCAGCTCAAAAAAAGATCTAGATTTTATAATAAATGTTCTAAATAAAGAATTTTAAAGAGTATTGCCTGCAGGTAAAAAAAAACTATGGCCTTCAATGGCCAAAAAAAAAAAACGACACTATTGCCTTCGACTTATTATTTTATTTTATCTTTACAAATTCCAACATGTTATTAAAGCTTGTTTATATTTTCCACACAATGAAAGTTTGTTTTCTTATGCTAGAATACTAATAACCAACTCGATTAATAAATGATTAATATGGACCCCAAAAAATGACTAATGACATTAAAAAATTTTCATTGAGCATTTTGTAAATAAAGCTTATCTAAGATGGTGGATAAATAATTAAATACTACTATCTCCGGTGCTTAATATAAGAGCTAATTTCATATTTAATTTAATTGATCCTAAATATAAGATTCTAATTCACTTTATTTTTTATATTTATCCATTTTTACTAAGATAATTCTTGCAGTAATTATACATGTTAAATATTTGATCAAATAGTAAGTTTAGCTAATGCACATGATTAGCGAAGGTAATTTAAGGAAGAGAACACCTATTTATTTCAAAGAACTAACTTAATTAATTTTTTATTTTATTTAAATTAGTCAACTGGCTTTTATATTAAGGATCAGAAGTATTATGTTTTGTGGCTGATTTGAAATAGTTTATAAACAGCTTTTTAATCATGATTTATAGAATATAAGATAAATATACCAAAGGAGTTTTATCTCAAAATATGCAAAACATGTTTATAAATACCTTTTAAATATGATTCCAAACTGGCCCTTAATAAAATTTACCCTTAATTGTTAGGCTACCTAATTTTGCGTATATACTCCCAATTCAACCTAATTAAATTAAAATAAATATAAATTGACCCAATTCAATCTACGTAATATGATGAGGTCTCATTGTTCAGAAAAGGTCTTACAGAGTTTTTATGAATTTATTAACAAAGTCTTAATTACTATATATAAAAAATTTGACCCCAAAAACATACTACTAACTATATACGAAATACGGATTAGTATAATACGGTACATCTACGGAAATCATAGAACAAAAAGAAAACGACTTTTATCCGATAGGATGCTTTGCACGCCATTCAACACGGCCTACGTCAGCATCACTAAAGCCGTTTCTAAAAAACTCCCCACATTATTCTCTCTCTACTATTTTTTATGGTCAAAATTACCATAATATTCTCATCTATGATTTCCTTAGCCCCACGATCCTCTGCGACGACAAACATTTAACCCCGCCATCTACACCCTTCACTCTCCGACATCACGGTCAGACCGACACAGTCGACGGTTCAGATTTTACCACCATTTGGATCTCTTGTTGACTTTGCAAGATCGGACCATAGAAGAATGACACGTCACCGGTACATCGAGCGAGCGTTACTGGATATTACCTTTCGGGTAAAAATTAATGTGCATGGCGAATCTGACGGCTAGGAATTCGGGTAGAATTTTCTTTCATGATGTTGAGTGTAGAGTACCATTTTCTCCTCAACGTCGCTTCTGGTTTCACTATAAATGTCCATTTCCCTCGCGGTACTCGAGCTCGCTTCCTCTGTTGAGAGTGTCTCTGTGTTTTCGTTGCCGGTCGTCGAGGTCGCATTTCCTGTTTTAGGTCACCGGCGGTGATAGGTTTCCGGCGAGGATGGGTGCTACTCTGTTATCGGAGCTTGCGACAGAGATAGCGATCCCGGTTTGTGCTATTGTCGGGATCGTTTTCTCTTTGGTGCAGTGGTTCCTTGTTTCGCGTGTGAAGCTCACACCTGAGCGTCACGGGCCGTCGTCGTCTCCGAGTAACAAGAATGGGTACGGAGACTACCTGATTGAAGAAGAGGAGGGTATCAATGACCACAATGTCGTCGTGAAATGTGCCGATATTCAGAGTGCCATCTCTGAAGGTGAGCTTGTATTGTAGATCTGTTGATTTGTCTGAGATCTGGTTATGGGGTTTGAGTCTTAAAATTTCGGAAATGAATTTCGTGAACGACGTGAATTTAAATGGTTCGTTTTCTCTGAGATATCTAGTGTTAACGTTTAACTTGAGCCCCTTTCTGATATTGGGAGAACATTCAGCGAAGCGAAGCGAAAAATTTGATCTTATTCGGCTGTGCTGTTTGTATCATGATTTGAAGGAGTCCGCATGGTCTGGATCAGCTGAGAATACAAATTTGTACTGTTTAAACTCAGCAGATTTCGAGGAGAAAAGAATTTCTTTTTCATTGTTATTACGTGAAACGAATTTATAAAGCATCTGCCTTTTTTGATGCTACTTACCTATGGGGTCTTTTCTGGGATATTTTATTCCTTATTCACTTGTGTTTGGGCTGCAGAGTCGGAATGATCTTGAACCTCATACCAGATCTGCTTTCTATTTTCTCCTTTAATTTTTCATTCCTGTTTCCGTCTTGGATTTTATTCATTTTGTGCAGCTGATTTTGCTCTGGATAAATAAAACGCGAATAAGATTCCAATCTCCGAAGGGCTTGGAGTTTTATATATTGCTGGCAATAAGAGATTGTTATAAGTAATATTAAAAGCCCAGTTGGTGTCTATTCATGTGCACAGCACGTGAACTACATTTTCCGGTGATTTGGTGGTATTTACTTGTCTCCGTTGTGATCTTTGTTATTATTTATTTCGTGGTGGGTTGTTAACTTGGCTTCAAATTCGAGTTTTATGTCTTTCGACATACTCACATTAATGTGTAGGGCATTTAGCGCATCGTTTCCAGCACCAGAGCTATGGATAATACTACTACGTGTCCTCCACATTTCTAAAAATATAATTTCCATGCGTTATGAATGCTAATCTTTGATCTTAATTATGGTTGAATCTCATATTTTTATAACGGTTGATGGCAGGAGACTATAACTTCTAATGAATTTGTACAGGTTCCTGGAATTGAGTAAGTGCTATGTTTTATGGAAATGTATGTTCTTTATGGCGATGGCTATTTTCATTCTCCTGTGTACATTTCTGGCTTGCAACACTCTTTACTTTTTGTATGTACGCTTGATTTAGCTGGTAAGATCTTGGCATGATGTGATTCATAAATTCTTCAGGATATATTGTGTACTTATACACAGTATGCGTGTAACTTTGCAGGTGCAACATCCTTTCTATTTACTGAATACCAATATGTGGGAATCTTCATGGCTGCTTTTGCAATTCTAATCTTCCTCTTCCTGGGATCTGTGGAGGGCTTCAGCACCAAGAGCCAGCCCTGCACATATGATAAGGAGAGGATATGCAAGCCAGCACTTGCGACTGCAATCTTCAGCACCGTGTCCTTCTTGCTTGGTGCTTTCACTTCAGTCCTTTCGGGTTATCTTGGGATGAAAATAGCCACCTTCGCCAATGCAAGGACAACATTGGAAGCAAGAAAGGGAGTTGGTAAAGCTTTTATTGCTGCATTTAGGTCTGGTGCAGTGATGGGTTTCCTTCTTGCGGCAAATGGTCTTTTGGTGCTCTACATAGCTATAAATCTTTTCAAGCTGTATTATGGTGATGATTGGGAAGGCCTTTTTGAGGCTATTACTGGTTATGGTTTGGGTGGATCTTCCATGGCTCTGTTTGGGAGAGTTGGTGGAGGTATCTATACCAAAGCTGCTGATGTTGGTGCTGATCTAGTCGGAAAAGTTGAGCGAAATATTCCTGAGGATGACCCAAGAAACCCAGCTGTAAGCAATGCTGGCACCCTATCATCTGTTTCCATTTGAAACTAAAAACTTCTCTTTGATTATTCGTTCAATTGATTGATGCTTTTCTATCAGAATTTTGTGTCTGTTCTGAGCTTTAATATTAATGTATTCTCTTTGGTCTCTTTAGGTGATTGCTGACAATGTTGGTGACAATGTTGGAGATATAGCGGGAATGGGTTCTGATCTGTTTGGCTCATATGCAGAATCATCCTGTGCTGCTCTGGTTGTTGCTTCCATATCTTCCTTTGGAGTCAACCACGAGCTCACAGCAATGTTATATCCCTTGCTTATCATTTCTATGGGCATTCTCGTCTGTTTGCTCACTACTCTCTTTGCTACCGACTTTTTTGAGATTAAGGCTGTTAAGGAAATTGAGCCAGCATTGAAGAAGCAACTTATCATCTCCACAGTTCTTATGACCATTGGAATTGCAATTGTTTCCTGGATTGCTCTGCCATCATCCTTCACAATTTTTAACTTTGGGGCTCAAAAAGTGGTGAAGAACTGGTATAGACTTTCTAATGTTTTTACTTCATGCTGATGGACTTGTGGTTTGATATTTTTTTCCTCTGGTTATGATAACAAACTTAACCCGCTAACATTATTGAAATTACCAGGCAGCTGTTCCTCTGTGTGGGGGTTGGTCTCTGGGCTGGACTTATTATTGGATTTGTGACCGAGTATTATACTAGCAACGCTTACAGGTACCTGAATGTTTGCTAAGTATGGATGCAAGCTTATATTTCTCGCTTTCTTCATGAGTTTGATCAGTTAGTTGATTTCTTGCAGCCCTGTACAAGATGTAGCTGATTCTTGCCGGACTGGAGCTGCAACTAATGTTATCTTTGGCCTTGCTCTGGGATACAAATCTGTTATCATTCCTATTTTTGCCATTGCAGTCAGCATTTTTGTTAGTTTTAGTTTTGCTGCCATGTATGGTATTGCTGTGGCTGCCCTTGGAATGCTGAGCACCATTGCTACTGGGTTGGCTATTGATGCATATGGGCCCATCAGTGACAATGCTGGAGGAATTGCAGAGATGGCGGGTATGAGCCACCGCATCCGTGAGAGAACTGATGCCCTTGATGCTGCTGGAAACACAACTGCTGCCATTGGAAAGGTATTCTGATTCTTTTTAGGTTGTTCTATTGGTCATGTATCCTCTTCAATTTTCTTGTTAAATCTGCGTAGGAATTAGGGTAGTACATCTTGCACACTAAGCCTCACACCAAATCGTCTTACTTGATCACGGCTATTTTCTCATAGTATAGATGTTGATCGTAAGATCTATTGGCTCAACTGAGGGAGAGCCTTGATGGATGTTCCTTCATTGTAATGGCTAAAAAGTTATATCTGCAAACCTATTTTTAATAAGCTCCTGTCCTGGCGCTGATTTCTGCCTCTATTAAACAACAGCTTCGGTGTACCTGCCTTACTTGAAAGTAGACTCAGTTACAATAACACATGCTTACTTATCATGCATTTCTTCACCTGGCTTTCTGACTTTGTATCAGGGCTTTGCCATTGGATCTGCTGCTCTAGTGTCGTTGGCTCTCTTTGGTGCATTTGTGAGCCGAGCTGCAATCTCAACTGTAGATGTCTTGACCCCTAAGGTCTTCATTGGACTTCTAGTTGGTGCCATGCTTCCCTACTGGTTCTCTGCCATGACCATGAAGAGTGTAGGAAGTGCTGCCTTGAAGATGGTAGAGGAGGTTCGCAGGCAATTCAACACCATTCCTGGCATCATTGAGGGCCATTCCAAGCCTGATTATGCTACCTGTGTCAAAATCTCGACCGATGCATCCATCAAAGAGATGATTCCTCCTGGTGCCCTTGTCATGCTCACCCCACTCATTGTTGGTACATTTTTCGGTGTTGAAACTCTCTCAGGTGTTCTTGCTGGCTCTCTAGTTTCTGGTGTTCAGGTAAAACAACCTGTAATAAACATGAAACATTGACGTTATGTATTTTCTTTTGATCCAAACTTTGCTTAACATTCTTCTGCCTTGCATTTTTCCCAATAGATCGCAATATCAGCGTCCAACACCGGTGGTGCTTGGGATAATGCTAAGAAGTACATCGAGGTAAAAGTTCATGCTTGTTACTTAACCTGTGCAAATTGCATCTTCCACAATATTTTTGTTGCATGATTTTCCTGTTTCTAATGAGTAATAAATGAAATTACTCAGGCTGGTGCATCTGAGCACGCTAGGACCTTGGGACCTAAGGGATCTGATCCACACAAAGCAGCTGTGATTGGTGACACTATTGGAGACCCTCTCAAGGACACATCCGGCCCGTCTCTCAACATCCTGATTAAGCTCATGGCGGTGGAGTCACTTGTGTTTGCTCCATTTTTCGCCACTCATGGTGGTTTACTTTTTAAGATCTTTTAAGGGAATGGGGGAGATACATGGAAGGATCAAAGAGAGGTATCTTTTTTGTTTTCTTTTCCCATGAGAAGGGAATAGGGTTTGCCATTGACAACTCAAAAGCAATTTTCTTTTGTACCCAATAGCATCCCCATCATTAGGCAGCAGCCCTTTAATTATGAGAACTTCAGATTTGTTACAAAAACTCTTGCTTTTACTCCTTTGATATTGACGAAATGAATTTTCCATTATCCAGTCATGGAGTGTGTTTCGCTTTAAAGCCTTTTAAGTTAGGGACCTTACCGCGAGTTCTGAAGTTCATTGATGTTTGTTTTGGTCAAGTTCGATTGGTTCTCAAGATTCACATATTGATAAAATATTCGTCATTGTGAATCTCAAGTGAAGAATGGTAACTGAATGGAAAGAAACTATGCTCTGCAACAGTCTATTAAACTAAAAGGAAAGGCGAATCAAGGGGAACCGATAAGAGTTGCAGATGAAGTGAAGGTAATTTATAGCTGTGATAGACTTAAGTGGTCTGTGGATTATTATGGACTTGTTTGGATTGACTTATAAGTAATTTTTTAATCGTAATTTACAAAATATGAAATAAATATGTGAGGAAAGTTTTGTTTTGGTTTACCTAAACTTGTTTAAAAGTCTGTTTTGAACGGAGCTTCAAACAAGTAGTATATAGGTTTTATACTGCTATATCTCGATGAAAATTTTTTTATTTAATTTTATAAAATAGCGGTCTTATTCATACCTTTGTTTTGTCTAATATTTTGTTTTTTTTTAATAAAATAGCGTATAATTAACATACGCACAACTGGTGAAACTAACAACAACAAAGCACGATCAATCAACGAAAATGACCCACCGGGGGGGGGGAGTGGGAGGGAAAAGAAGAAAGAACTAGCATAGACACAGAGGTAGGCACTATCATTAAAATCAGCGATATAATCAAAATATCAAATGAATTAGCATGGAACGAGAATACACTCAGAGATGACTCATCATCCTCATCCGTCTAGGCCCCCTCGCATTCAATCTTCTTCATTATTATCCTTTTAATTATTATTGACTGAAAAATCCATCTTCTGAAAATATATAACAAGACAACCCTTTTATTCACCTTAGCCGTTTTTGTCTTTCGTTGGCAAGTTTGTTAAAGTTTGCAGCTTTATTCCCTTTTTCTAGAAAAAGGTCCCTTTTTTTGTCAATGGGTTTGTTTATTTGTGATTTGTTCTTTGTACACGCTGTCGGTGGCCATTTCTGTAAAGGGGATGAATACGGAAGCCTGCATCGTCGCCACATAAGAATTACAACAAAAATAATTGCTTGGATAACTCCAGAAGCAATTCTCATAAACACTTTTTTGTAAATTGAGACAAACTTCTTAATATACTAAAAACACTTTTAAAACTGTGGTTTTGTTTCTATCCAAACACCTCATTCGATGTTGACAAAGAAACCCAAGTGTTATATACCTCTACATCTCTTCAGTCCTCCCTGGTTGTCACCCTTGAAGCTCACTTCTCTCACGAATTTCAGGTTCTCTCTCGTTCCTCTCCTTACTGCTTGCTTGCCTGCCCGGAAATTTCTGATGCGGCACAAAAAGAAAAGTTATTAATTTCATTATTTTACATCACAGCTTGCTCAATCAGTAAAATAGCTTCATTTCACCCAGAATTTCTCGGCAAGCAAGCAGATTCCCCCCCCCCTTTTTGTAGAAAACTAGCAATTTTCTGCTATAAACTGTAGTACTGAATGCATTTATTTCTAGTCCTGGGGGTATGTAAATGAGTCCCAAGGGTAAGGGACTGTTTAATCAGCTTGTTCGACTAAGTGGGAAATATTGTTCAGTTTATAGTTTGAAGCTGAGAATTAATGGTCAGTGCATCATCAATGCTAACTCCATATGACATGGAGGAAGTCCAAAAGTACTGCAATACTTTGTGTAGGTTATCCTTATAAACTTGTATTTGCCTGCCTTTAACATGTCTATCTATTATTGTTTCTGTTCTCATAGTGATAGAGGTCTTTGGGTAACTCCAGAAGTACTTTTGAAAAGTACTTTTTAACAAATTGACATAAACTCCTCCATATATTTACTTTGTATATCGTAAAAGTAATTCTGAAACTATGGTTTTGTTCTTATCCGAATACCCCTATAGTGGCACTGTACCAATGGTTTTGCCAGCTTGATCGTAATGCCAAAGGACATGTTTCAGCTGATGAGTTCTTTTCTGTCCCTGAATTTGCAATGAACCCCCTTTCTCAGGCAAGAAGGATGTATTTTTTTGGTTTACTACTTTCATGCTATTTCATATTTTAACATATAATCAAAGGGCGAGGTCAAGATTTAAGTATGGGGAACGGGGGCTTAGAGATTAAGAAGCATATGAAGTTTCCATTAATTTTAGGAAAGTTAGGTAGTTATAACGCCTATACTTTTAATAAAAATTGAAAACTTGGGGATCGTGGCCCTTGCCAGTCCTCCTCTCCTCCATTAAAATCCATTGATACGTCTAAATTTCATGAATATAAATGGTGGAACAAGAAATTTGTATACAACTCAACATTCAGTTTGGAAATTAACCCTAAGTTCATGTTCTATAAATTAGGATCACTGTGCCCGGGTTTCACCTTGAGCCCAAAATATAAAGATTGAATTTTCTTTAAGCCCTAATCAAATGTCAATTAACCCACCTAGACAGGGCAGAATAGGTTGATTACTTGCAAATTGTCATCCTCACACACACACACACACGTTGAATCTGCTAAGAAATTAATTCAATTTAAAAAAAAAGAAAGAATTGAACATAGAATGTAAAACAATTAACTTTAATTTTTTTAAATATTATATGAAGGGAAAATCATATTGAAGGTACCTATACTTTCTCTCAATTTTTAATTTGGTACCTATGTGTTTTTTCCCCTTTAATTAAACATTTAATTTTATCTTTTTGCCAACATTAGCTTTTATAACTTTTTTCTATTGATATTTTTAGTCTCTACATAAGGATTAATAATATTAATAGAGCAAAATTAAAGATTTAGTTAAGAACAAAAAACACATAGATACCAAATTGAAAATTAAAAAAAAGTATAACTACCTCCAATATGGTTTTCCCTTATTTGAATTAAAAGGTAATAGAGGTTGACATCTGAATCATTCATAATAAAAAGTTGTTAATAAAAGTACTCTTTCAAATAAATAAATAAGATGACTTGAGAAGCAATATCAATATAATGAAATTAAATCCTGGGAAAATAAACCTTGTTTCATTCTATATTTAACCGTAGTTAGTTTATAGAGGTTGGTTTTGTCCTCACCCATATATGTGGGGAAGTGTCGTTTATAAGAAATTAAGAATAACATGATTTAATTTTTATTATAATAACGTCACTTGGCTAACTAGAAAAGAAAAACGTTACTTGTGCAATTATCTTATATTTAATTTTTATAGATTAATATTCTAATTCTTATATTTAAGTATCATTTATTACAAAATTTCTAATTAACCACTTGTAAATTAATTCGTTGTTAAAAATGATGAATATATTGCGTGTAAGGACCTTCAAAATGACTGTGGATAGCGACATTTTAGTAGGTTAGCCATGGAATTATTGTTGATGACCTCACTAACAACAATTTGATCCGTGTACTAATTATAATTATTATTTAAATAATATATTTTTTTAAAAAAACCTACCCAAGTACGTAAGGTATTACTATTACACCTCATTTCTCATACTTACTAATATACTACTTCCGGTCTTAAATATAAGAACTAGTTGATTAATTTGAGTAAATTAAGAAAATAAGTTAAGTTAGTTGTTTGTTATAAATATGTGTTGTCTTTCTTAAAATATCCTTACTAATCAAATTTATTAGTTAGAATTACTATTACTAGAAGGATTATTTTGAAAAAAATGAATAAATATGAGAGACAAAGTGAATTTGAGTTTTATATTTAGAATTAAAATAAAATTTTATATTAAGGACCAAAGAATATACGTGACATTCCATGTTAAATAATAATGAAGGCTCCTTCGGTTTGTCCCATTAATGTCATTAGAATTAGAATAAAATTGAAATTCTATCGGTACCAATAAAAATACATTTGAGAATTTTAATATAGTAAAAATTATGAAAGGATCAATGTTAAAACCAGATGCTGCACAGTATTATATAAGGTTTAAGTTATCCTATTCATTTATAAATACTAGTGTCTTTCTCTTATAAAGTAATGATATGTGTATATATGTAGGAAGGCTAATAAGTCGTGAATATTACCACTTACTAGTGTTATTTTTTTACAATATATTGAAACAAAATATGTCAATTATAGTTCAATAAAACCTTTAAAATACTATCCAATTAAGTTGGCCAAAAAAAAATACTATCCAATTAAGAATTGAATGACGTGTATTTTTCTGGGGACCTAAATAGAATGTGAAATTAACACCATACTTAAAGTGGGCTTAAGGAGTGTTTGGATGAGCCCATAAGTACTTTTTAAAAATATTTTTTCATAAATCGAAACAAACTTCTTCATATATTTATTTCATAAATTATGAAATCACTTTTGAAACCATAACTTTGTTTCTATCCAAACACCTCCTTATGAATTGAAGTTTTGTCATGAAAATAAAAAAAAGAGAGTCAAAAAGAGAATAGCAAAACAAGTCTAAAAATTTGGAAAGGTTATGGATTTAGGACATTTTAAGATAAAAAAATCCTATAAAAAATTTGAAGAGTTGAAGCTATGGACATCCACAAATCCACAAACACACTATATTTATAACCAGCTTCGTTTTATTATTATTATTATTATCTTTTGTTCTTTTATTTTTTGAATGATATAAAAAGGCTATACTATTTATATTTATGAGTAATAATATCGTACATTTTAGACTTGATATGAAGTATGGGTCATGATCTAATTAATGTTAATAACGAAATTGATTAAAAGAAGAACTTTTAAAATAATGAGAATTATGCATTCTTTTCATGCCGAATTACCTATTTCTTAAACAAACAAAATAAAGGAGTCAAAAAAAGCGCCTCGGACTGTTTAAAAATATTTCTGTAAGTATCCTTTAAGTTTAAATTTAAAGACATATTCTAAAGGTCTATTTCAAATTATTTATGAACCGCTTTTCAATAGGTGACTCCAAATAAGATTACTTTTGAGATTTTGAAATCCAACTCGTTTAAAGTTCTTCTCTATTTAAAAACAATAAATTAATATAAATTTCCGTTCTCCATGTTTATTCTTATTTTGATTTTGGTATTTTAAGTTTTAAATTATAAGTTTTAATCCTTTAAGTTTCCTTTCTATTAAAATATTTTAATAAAAATTTGAATTATTTTGCCCATTAAGAGAACAAAACTTATAATTTGAAGTTTGAGAGACTAAAATCAAAATGAGGACAAATTTAAGAGATTAAAAAGTATTTTAACCCAAAAACAATTAAACTAAAAGAAGTCCTCATCTCAGTGTGAAAATATTTTTTTTTAACAAACAATAGAAAAATATTTGGCAACAAAAATACTTGAAAAACTTTCTTAGCATCATACGATGACAATGAACCGGGATGGTCTTATCCCATCAGATATGCAGCAAAAAAGAAAAGAAAAGAGAGTCCATGCATCTTCTTATTTTCACAAGAATTACAGTCATCGTCATGCAATATTTACATAAATTTTGTTTAAAAAATACATATACATAATTTTCATCATAAACTGTCATTATGTGCTCATAATGCGGTGGCTGGGCCCGGAATCACTTTCCGTTTTTCCCACACACAAAAATTATAAAAAGCCTTTGCGTGAAAAATCCTCCAAAGGCATCCCGTGGGACCCACAACCACATCCCCGAGTGGATAAAGTCAAGATACCTCATTAATTGCCCTCATGCTAGTCCTCACTCTTCCCTTCGATTCCTTTCCCTCCTATCTTACTCTCGCCCTCACCTAATCCCAAGCCTTCCATCTCCACGTGTCTCCCGTCGGTTGGTTCGGGCTTCGGCTCGGTGATTGCCACGTTGCGCTTTATTGAACCCACCCGTCAGTCTTTTCTCGCACTATGCTCATCCTCCGCATTTCACCGTTTTATTGTGTTATTTCTGAGAACCTCAGAACAGCTTCCTCCGTGATCGTTTCTACCTGAGAGAAATTGGATTCGCACCAATTTTTCATCATGTCAGGGTACACTTAACTTTCTCAGACTCCCCCCCCCCCGGGATTATGATCTGCTTGTTTCTGTGGAAAGTGTAACTGCGATTTTCTCTCGCTTTTCTGATGATCACTCTGTTTTTCTCCTTTTCTTTATCCTGATGTGAGTAGTTGATGCCTTTTAGATACCAGAATTTGAATATTATCGTTTTTGCTAATTTGCTGTATATATCGTGGCTGTTGTTCGAAGAATATCGGTGGAGTTCGGAGCCTTGCGGTTCGATCATGCTTTGTAGTAGTAGTTTATTTCGACGTTGTCTGATTATGATGATAGGCGCTACTTTTTTAACTGTAATTTTCTGCGATAGCGTTCCAACTTCGGTAGAAGTTTGTTACTTCAAGCTATATACAGAGGCATAAAGGCAATACGTTGGTTTTTATGCGGGTTTTAAAGCAAAATCATATATAGATTACATGTTCGAGCTTACTGCTTGGTTTCTGGTGTTTAAAGTCGACAGTTATGTCAGAAATCAGAAATAGAAATTTTAACCAAGGATGGCATTAATAATTAGTCGTTATTTATGGGGAAAAAATATGCAATTAGTTATTTCTTTAAGTTGAAATTTTACTGGATGGCGTTGATATAACCATTACATATAGATGTCTGGTTTTAAGATGCACGGCTTTGAATCCTCTTATAATACCAGTCTGCTTTTTATTTGGCATGTGTTTTGAGCTGTTAGTTATATTTTAGTATGAATTTGCTGTGGAAAGGTTACTTACAACTGTGATGTTAAATGTAATTTTCTGAACTGCTTATATTCTTAAACTGGTGTTCATGTTCGTACTTTTAATATTTTTGAGAATTACCTTTGAGATGTCAATTCCTGATGATCAAGTCCGCTGAAAACTTATTCAGCTGCGCTTTCCTTTTTGTACTTTTACAGGGTGAAGTAGAGTGCATATATTCATGTTTGGTTATTGAATGGGTTACACTAGTGTTCTCCTGCAATTTTTATGACATATATTGATTGCAAGATATTTTCTCAATGGGCGGAGCTTGTTCTAGGAAGCAAGATCAGGACAGTGAAGATTGTTCTCAGCGAAGACTTTCACGAAGATATTTCAAAAGTGGAAGTTTGAAATGGTCGAATTCCTCATTTTCTCATCCTTCTATAGATTATCATTCACAGAAAGGAGAATGTCCATCATTGTTGGACTTATGTGTCCGGAAAATATGCAAGGTACTTTTTGAACAAAATATCATGCTCTGTCCCTTTTGTTTTTGCCCCCCCCCCTTTTTGAGGCATTGATCTGAAAATCTTCTATCATGCTTAGTCCTTTTTTTGAAGAATTGATGAAAATCTTTCTTCAGGAGATTCATAAGCATAGGACGTTTTCTTCAATCCCACGGGACATAAGCCAGCAAATTCTTAATGAAATGGTTTATTCCCAACGTCTAAGCAGTGCTTCCTTCAAAGCTTTTCAAGATTGTTCTCTCCAGGTAAATCATTTTAAATTGCTTAGTCTGCTGGAATAAATTCTTTGCTAAGTTTTCAACTCAAGTCAATCATATGTTCTTGATCTAAGTGGCCAGATGTGTTATTCTGCATTCAACAGGATTTCTACTTGGGAGAATATCCTGGTGTGGATGACAGTTGGATGCAAATTATCTCATCACAAGGGTCATCTGTACTGTCTGTGGATCTTTCTGGGTCTGATGTCAGTGATTATGGGCTGAATTATCTCAAAGATTGCACAAATCTTTTAACCTTGAATCTTAATCACTGCGACCAGATTTCTGACCATGGTCTAGAGTATATGAATGGTAGTCTTTCCCTTTCTGCCTTTCTTTAGGCATTTTTTATGGATTTACAATTTACACGTCAGCCATCCTTCGTGAATATCCATTATTCGTTACTGAATTGTTGGTCCCTTGGTGTTTTCATTTATAATATATTAGAAGAAAAGAACAAAAAATCTCTCGAATGACATAGCACTGTATCTACTGCCTGTTGCTGCCAATTTATGAAAATGCCTCTTACTCTTTTTAAAAAGCTGCCATACAATGTTTTTCAAATTTTGGTTTCTGCATATATTGCCAATATTTATAAATAGCTGTTTGTGGCTGAAAACGTCGTCTATTAATTGCTGATTTCCTGAAGACATGCCTTGATTGTAATTGAATCTCATAGGTCTGTCAAACTTGACAAGTTTGAGTTTTAGAAGAAACAATGCCATTTCTGCACAAGGTCTAGGTTCGTTTTCTGCTCTTGTTAATTTGGTTAAGTTGGATTTGGAGAGATGTCCTGGGATTCATGGAGGCCTTGTTCATCTTCAAGGTTGGTTCTTATGTCATGTTGTGCAAAAACAAGTATATTCACTGTTCTAGGTCTAGTGTACCTCATTAATCCCATTTATTGTACCGCGTTAGAGAAATTTATTAATTTGATTTAATATGGTTCATGTTTCAGGTTTAACCAAGCTGGAATCTCTAAATATGAAGTGGTGTAATTGCGTAACAGATGCTGACATGAAGCCTTTATCAGGTTAATCGCATCTTGCTTCCCTCTTATTACAATGTTGACTTGAATCCTTTGAAGCCTTTATTTTCCACTGTAGTAGTTCTTGTTGAGACTTGATATTACCAGTGATAACTTCACCTATTTTATTGCAATTTTTAAACTTGATTGAAATGAGATGAAATTTTGGTTAAATAATGTAAATTTTTTTAGTTCAAGAGAGATTCCAGGGGGAGAGTGGGCAAAGTATCCTGAACTCATTGCATAATGACCTGTGTTGGTTTTGTGAAGGATGCTTATGTTGTTCGAGTTTTTAGTGGCATAAACATTCTTGCTATATGTGCATTGCTATATTGCTTTTGAAACTTATTTTCTTCACTAGAGACTGGAGCTGGAAGAGAACAAAGGCAATTCGAACACATAGACACTGTGCTTGACCATGGTATAATTATGAGCAACTGTGTTTATCGAGTATAATTGTGTGTGGATTCTCGGTCATGGGATTTGGAAATAGTACTTCAAGATCCATTATGTGTCCAAGCTCTGACCTATTAGTGTTACTAGCACTGAAAAGAATACATGGATCAATAACTAACAGTATGTTATTATTTTCTTCCAGAGCTTACAAACTTAAAGAGTCTAGAGATTTCATGCAGTAAAGTGACAGATTTTGGCGTCACTTTCTTGAAAGGTATTTTGCCTGACGTGTCATTCTGATGCTCAGTGTTAAGTATATATAATTATCACGTGCCAGTTATTTTGTCTTAAGGTTTATATTCATGTTATAATTCTTGTTTATGATAATTTTTTCTCAGGAAAGCAAAGGTTGAAATTGATAGGTTCAACTTAGTACTGTCATTTCTATGTCTCTTCAATTTTCAATAATGTCTTGGTTCGTTTCAGGATTACAAAAGCTTGCTCTGTTAAATTTGGAAGGATGCCTGGTCACAGCTGCATGCTTGGATTCGCTAGCAGGTTGTATTTTTTTTCATAGGCTCTTACATTAATGTTACCAATGTTATCATATTTCATTTGTTCTAATATTTAGAGCTGTGATCTTGGTTAATGATCTATGAAGCTTGAAAGATAAAAACAAAAAAAGGGGGTGGGCGGGGTGAGGTTAAGGGGACATTATTTGAGGGTTATATCTGAAGATTCATTTTTAAAATTCGTTTTCTCTTTTGGGGCTAAGAAGGGGTAAGGTCATAAATAGGTTTCAAACTGTAGTGCTTTAACGCACATGAAGGGACTTAAATTTTGTTTCCAATTTTGTTAGTAATGTGTTTGGCCTTCACTTTATTTAGTAGCTTTGAGGAAGTGCTGTTAGTGTTAGTGAACTTTCTTTGGGGGATGTAAGAAGTTTTGATTGATTACTTCTTTGAAAAATGATAAAATTGCTGCCTATTGAAGTTTTGACGTGCCATTGTTTGCTTCCAGAGATTCCTGCGCTGTCAAACTTGAATCTCAATAGATGTAATCTTTCGGATGACGGGTGTGAAAAGTTTTCACGTAAGTTGTTAAGACTTATGTATTTACTTTTGCAAATTCTACTTGCATATTAAAATATGCTTATTAATTTTCAGATTTTGGCTTCATTAGAATTGTGCAAGCACTGAATTTGTAGCTTTGCTTTGTTTACTGGCAGGGCTGCAAAATTTGAAAGTGCTAAACTTGGGATTCAATGAGATAACAGATGCGTGTTTAGCATACTTAAAAGGTGGCTTTAAATATTTTTCCAGCCCCCCCCCCCCTTTTCCTGTCCTGATTTCCCTGGGTGTATACGGGATCCAACTTATTTTATTCAAGATTATATTGAGGAAACAAACCATTTACAAACCAATCCTTAGAAGATTGTACTGTTTACTAAGTATGGAGATTTACATCCCATCAGGCAGCTTGGAGCAATATTTAGCGTTTCCACGGTTGCAATATGTGAGATTGTCATTATAACATTATGAAAAACGCGCCATAGCACCCTTACACAGATGATGGCTAACAATATCAAGGCATCTTCAAGAGCTATAAACCTGTAAGCTAGAGTCTAGCCTGCACCATAACCCCCATGCCCGGATGATGATTAATAATATCAGGGCATTACTGGCTCAGGACTGGTAGGTACCAATTGGCCACATTGATCATCAAGCTATTAGTGGAGCAGATTGCTTTGCTCAGGGGGCACATGGTTCTGCTTATGATACATGCATTGTTTTAGAATGCCGAACACGTTACCCATATGGTGTAGAGATTTTTTTTTAATTAAATCTAAATGTATAAAGAAGAAATTAAGCATGGGGCGCAACCATCATTCCAGTTTTGAGTTTCAAGATTATAATCTTGCACTTCTCATGAGCAGTCATTGTCAGTTGAAATTTTGCTTCTAGTTAACATGTTCCACAGAATAAAGTTATGATGTCTTGCCGGGGCAGAATGAAAAGAAGCAGAATACTTGAAAGAGGATAGTTCTGTCTAACATGTTGATATATTTCTCCAAGCAGGATTGACAAAACTAGAGAGCTTGAATCTAGATTCATGTAGGATTGGTGATGAAGGATTGATCAATCTGGCAGGTAGATGGTTGTTTATCTTCAATTTTCCAGTCTTTTTGTGATGACGTCCTGGATGAAAGTATTTTTCCAAATATTTTGGGGAAAAAAATATGCCGAAAGATATCTGCAATGGTTCATGTTCTTTAAATAATTGGTTGCAAATTATTCAATTGAAGAGTAATTATTTCATATGATTTGTCATTTATAATTTGCATATTCTTAAGGTAAGATGCGATTTACGTTTGCTTGTCTTTCATTTTAGGCCTTCAGCGGTTGAAATGCTTGGAATTATCTGATACGGAAGTTGGTAGCAGTGGGCTTCACCATATATCAGGTAAGACACTCTCATCATGCTTTTGATTTTATTAATTATCAAGTGTGTATTAATTGCTTTGCTTGCTGCTGTTTGTTTTTCCAAAATCAGGCTTCCATGCAATAGTGAAAGCTCTTAAAAGAAAGTCATATATCCAGTCAATGACGAATAACTTGTTTTGCCCAATAAGTTCTGCTTTCAGTTAATGACGGATAAGTTGAATGAAATTGGAATGGTCTCGTGAGTTATCTGTTATTTTGATTTTTGAATATCACTGTCCTGAAAACAGCGTTAGGTTCAATCTGTTAGTAATAGTAATAAATCCATCCAAGGGCCCTTCGCCAAAGAGCTAAAAGCTCTTTGGAGTTGAAATGATTTTGGCATCGTATCAAAGCCTTATTACCATGTGGTTGTTAGTAAGTTCTTGCCATTTCCATATCTGAGTTGCAAAGACATGAGATGTCATCTCAAGGTTTGGTAAGTCCGTGTGATGTTAATACCTCAAGCCAAAGGACCTGGGTATGAGGAAATCTTGTAGAATTTATGATGCAACCTTTCATAGGCCTTCGCTCTACATCTTAAGCTCAGACAATGAAATGGTCTGTTAGAAATTTTATATTGCTTCTTTAATTTCAAATTGCTTGAGGATATATAGTTCCTTATTTTTTTGAGAGTGAACGAGTGTCTGTGTGTGTTTTGAATTGTATGTCTTCTTGTTGACATGGGTTCCAAGGCTACTGATATGTAATCCTTTTATTCATGGCTTTACTTAGAAATTGCCTTTTTTCTGCTATAATCTTTCTCAAAATAATTGACTCGTGAATCACGAACAAAACTTGTCAATGAGAAATTCTTTGGGTGTGGAATTTGGATGCTTCGAATATAAGCAGTTGTGACTATAATTTGAACTTGCCTTGCCATCTTTCCCTTCAAGAGTCTTGCCATGCTGATATATTTTGTATTTGATTTCTTACAGTACTGTCTCGTCTGGAGAAGATAAATTTGTCATTCACGATGATTAGTGATGGTGGTTTAAGGAAATTGTCTGGACTCTCATCTCTGAAATCACTTAATTTGGATGCTCGCCAAATTACTGATTCAGGACTAGCAGCCCTTACTAGTACGCATCCCTGACCCTATGTATAAAGATACAATTTGAAGAATGGTTTTTATGCTTTTACGTGGTATATAGGCTTTAAATCCAGTTCGCTCTGATAGATTTGGTACTAAATTTTTTTTTTTTTTTTTGGTAATGAAAAAACAGGTTTGAAATTTTATCCTCACAGCTTTGTTATTTTTCCCAAGTCTGGGATGGGTGAAATACCTGCATAGCTTATAGTATTCTGACTCTATTGCTTTTTCAAGACGAAAGCTTAATGTGGCACAATGCATGACTTGAGTTTACTGATGCAGGTTTGACTGGGCTCACCGACCTGGATTTGTTTTGCGCACGAATCACAGATTCTGGAACAAACTACTTGAAAAGTATGTGATATGAAACTGATGTTCAGTTTCCTAATATTACTCAAGATGTTTCAGTTAAACATGACATGATCGGATGCTAAACTTCACATTGCATATAGTCTAACATTTTCCTGCAATTTGGTTTGTTCTTTTAGTTTCGTCCATTCATGCCCGTTTTTTTTTTTTTTTTAATTACATGCCCAATTTGTTTCTTAATCATAATAAAGAAAAGTTCAGTTTCTAACTTGATCTTGATTTAATCTTCAAGAGAATCGCATAAATGCATCTATTAACTTAATAGGTAAAGTTTTATGGAAATTTAACTGTTGTGTGCTTGCAAGTTTGATAAATCAGAAATCAGATCAAACAATTACAGTCCACTTTCCAAGTCAGGGTTCAATAGTCTTTAATTTTTTTTTTTTTTAATTGAATATGATGCACTTATGGTACTGGTATGCCTGATGTTTAGGGGACTCTTTTTTGTGGACTCTCATTATAGTACAAGCTTTGAAACTTTTTACGCAATTTCATCCATGGAACATGTGTGTTTTGCAGAATTAAGTTAATCAACTAAATTTATGTGTGATGAGTGTGCTACTTGTTAGCCTGAGCTCATATTGTTGCTGATTTTTTTCGCTTTTTTTTCCCCAACATTTCTCCTGGTGCAACAGACTTTAAGAACCTGAGGTCGTTGGAAATATGCGGTGGAGGATTGACTGATGATGGAGTAAAAAATATCAAAGAGCTTTCATCTCTGATGTGCTTAAATTTATCACAGAACTGCAGTCTTACGGACAAATCCCTGCAATTAATTTCTGGTATATTGACAGACCTCTGCTAGTTTGAGAAACATGGACTCATTTTGTGTTATTTTTCTCCGGGTATTTGAAATTGAAATAAAAAAATGCATGGAAAAAGAAAGTTGTCAGGTCCGATACGTATCTCAAAAAATGTCTTGCTCTTTTTTTTTTTTTTTTTGGTTGTTGCCTGATATGATACTTGTTGGTCTCTTCCAAGTGAAGCCCGAACATTTAAGAGCAAAAGTAGGCTCTAGACTTTACTAGTGTCTAATGAAAGTGAAAATCACAAGGTTGGCATTTTGATGAATGCCTTGAGTAGATGTTTCAAACCTTTGACGCTGGTTATAATTATCTCTATTATTTTTCAGGGCTCTCGAAGCTGATCTCTTTGAACGTTTCCAATTCTAGTGTCACCAGTGCCGGTCTGCAGCATCTTAAAACGCTCAAAAACTTGAGATCTCTGACATTGGAATCCTGCAAGGTGACAGCAAATGACATTAGGAAACTTAAAGCAGACCTCCCTAATCTGGTTAACTTCCGACCAGAATAGCTAGTGAGGTATTCTGTTCCACTTTATTTGTGTACATATGTTCTTCCTGGAGATGTAAATAACTTGTTTGTCCAGGGTTGGTCATTTGGTTTGTTAAGGGGGTATCCTAAGTATTTGATGTATTGGTATGACAAATATGGGGGAAAAACAAGTTAAATTGTACATAAACTTGTTGGTGGATTGATGGGATGTGCGTGGACTGCCTCACTGAATCTGTGCAGTTTTCTTTGATGTCATCAAAATTTGTTCTTTTGCTCTGTCGTGAATCTGAGACAAGTCAAGTAGACAAAGAACAAAGTTAATAAGGTGGTTTGGAGTTGTGCGAAGAAAGTGGTTGGAAGCATTGGTAGGGGTGATAAAACAGATAACTGAGTCCTGTAAAGAGCACAATTATCCAAAAATTCGATCAATGAGATTTGTCTTGTGCTTTGTATGGGATATATAAGCTGCCTCATGGTTTGTGAATAGTATATAGATGATGTTGATTTGAAATGGTGATAAATTGGTGAATTGGGTTCATATTTAAAGCTATGCACCTTTAGTTTGAACGTTTTATTTTAATAGAAATTGCCACCTTCATTAATGATATGAGGAACAACCCTCTAGGCATAAATGATCCACCGTCTCGCTTAATTAAGTAATGGATAATCAAAAGCGTAGAAGTAACTATCAATATTTCACAACGGTTACTTCATAACGTCTACTGCCAAAAGGCCTCTGTATCTAAGAATAGTGGCTATCATGATGATCGCTTGTTTCTCTCTATTATTTAAAGATGAGTATTGTGCTTATTACGTGAATGAAATTATGAAAGTATCCTTACTTGTCAAGCTAGTTTTGTGCGGATGGTATTACAAAACCTGAATGGGTGGTGTTTGAGGATTGGGTTTCTTGACCTCTCGCAAGAAGGCAGAGACAAGGGACAAAGGTGCTGATTTCATTCACAATTGTTTGTACGATCATAACCACATTTGGAGATTCCTTTTTTTCCTTTGCCATAAATTTGGAGATGCCTACTTAATATAATGAGACAAAATGTTTTCCTTATAAAGCTCCTTGAACGAGACTTCACCTTGGCCCCCAGAATGTTCACGGTGATGGCCAGTGTGCCCCCTTAGTTGTGACTTAGAACTAGAGTTGGGAATTATTCATAAGCAGCTCAAATAAAATTCATGAGTGTTGAAATTTTTTTACCTTTGGGAGAGGGACCACACACCCACCCATCCATCCCATTTAGGTCATTTGGGGACATAGAACCTCTTCTATTAGAGGAGGTGTGGGATATCATTGAATTAAGAGGTTCTTGTGTATTGAGTAATTCGGACCTGTTTAAGTTGGCTTGAATAAATTCATTTTATTTTTTAATACTTTAAAACAGATATAATTTTAAATATGATTTAATACATTGCTGGAGAGATCTAACTTCTTCCATGGTGATACTTGTTTTTTTTTCTTTTAATTTTTTTTATAATAGGGATAATGGAGACATAACTAAACATGATTTGATATTTTTTATACTTTAAAATCAATTTTCAAGAAGTCAGTTCCTTCGGTAAAAACATCATAATATTTAGCTTCTAGTTCACTTATGTGTTCTTAATGTTTTCTTACTTCGTAACTTAATTTTTTTTTTTTTAACTAAGCACAAGTATCCTTCTATTAGAAGCCATCACATTCAAGACACTATCGAAACCCTTTTAATTAGACTCAACTCTTATTGGTTAACGTAATTATATATATATATATATATATTTGCTAAGGTATAGGTATTATCTTATTGGAGGTAATCATATTCGAGGCACTGTCGGGTACTAAATGTGGACACCTCTTCCAGCAGGGATTTGAATATTGATTTGTCACGTTGTGAGGGACTAGCCCCTTCTGCTAGACCCAATCACTGTTGGTAATTTTTTATATATCTTATTACATGCACTCGTTGAACTTGAAGCTCTCAAGTAATTATGTGAACTAGTATTATTGGGAACTTCTTTTGGGGGGGAAAAAAACAAGAAGAAGAAATAATTTGAAGGTCGGGCTTCTTGTATTCAGGCATCTGTACTCGTTCAACTTGATGCTTGTATCTACCAGTTTTTAGGAATAATTTAATCATGTAATTTTATAAAAATATAATTCAGTTTAAAATTTTAAAAAACGAAAGTGGAAAGAAGAAAAGAAAGAACGACCCACCCATGACCTAACCCACAATCCATAGTGAGCCAACCCATTTTTGGCATCATGCAGTTTATGGATATTTGAGAAGGCCTAAACCTCTGATGGGCTAAGCACTTTGGGAAGGATGTTCACACGGATTTCATGAAGGCTCTTGATGACATCTTGAACATCCATGACAGAATCATCGAGTTTGTAGCTTAGTTAATGATATCAAAAGGCTCATTATGATGCAACCCAACGCAAACCAGCGCACCTAACGTGAAAGTAAAAAAAAATGGCTTCATGAAGTTGTTCTGGATCAGTGTGAAATGGCTCTCCTGCGCTCTGGGAAAACTGTGTTTGATGTGCCACCTTCTACTGAAGAAGATGATTTGTTGAAGAGGAGCTCCAAAAAAATAAAAAATGGCGGTAGAGAGAATGGGGTTGATCCGAAGATGGGGCATTGGCCAAAGCTGGGTTCTGCACGAACTACTGATAAAACGAAGAATTTATCCTTCGCTGAAACACTAAAAGGAGTGGACCATCAGGAAGAAAACTCAGACGATGAAGAAGGAAAGGATGATGAGATCTCGAACGATACCATGTCTGAAAAATCTGCTTCTGAGATGGAGCAAGAGAAAAAAGAACTGTTGGTGAGAATCAGAGAAGACCCTCAACGTAACTTTCCTACTTTCCACTTCTCCGGAAGACTGAAAAAATGGCTCTACAGAGCTTGGAGGAAAGCTGTCATTGTCAAACTTTTGGATCATCATATTGGTTATAAAGCCCTTGGAGCACGTTTACAAGCTCTATGGGCAAAGAGGGGAGCCATCAGCCTAATCAATATCGGGCATGGATTTTATGTTGTCAAGTTATCAAACAAGGAAGACTATTTCAATGCATTAACCGGTGGCCCCTGGATGATCTATGATCACTATCTCACTGTCAGGCCCTGGGAACCAAGATTTAATCCAGCCAAAGCAAAGATTGATAAGGTGGCTGTTTGGGTTAGGCTGCCAAGAGTATCTTTGGAGTACTATGATGAGGAGGCACTAACTATGATAGGAAATCGGATTGGAGAAACCTTGAAGGTTGATGTGAATACTTCATGTCAACTAAGAGGTCATTATGCTAGAATTTGTGTGCTTGTGGATCTGGGAAAGCAACTCATGTCAGGATTTTCTTTAGATGGAGATGACTATTATCTAGAGTATGAAGGGCTACATGCTCTATGCACAAGGTGCGGTATCTATGGCCATCATCCAGATTTGTGTCCTTCAAAAAAGAAAGAACCAGTTCAGGATGATAGAAGGAATGAACAAAATACCAGAATGCATGATGAACAAGAGGAGTTTATTTCGAGGGCTAATAATGAGCAGGAACACTGGAAGATAGTGCAAAAACAACGCCGGCTGAGGAAGGTAAGAGATAAGCCGGAAAACTCTCTCCGGCAACAAAACAGGGGGACACGTTTTGACATAATTGCTGACGTGGAGGATCCTGCTAATTTAACAAATATGATTGAAGAAAATGCCGTGCCTGCAGAGGGAGTGAGTGGTGTCGTTCCGTTTCAAAATGTGCAGAAAAGTTTTGTACGACGCAACAAAGGGAAGAAGGCTGCGCAAAAGAGTGGGACAACCACGATCAATGAGAAAGCACTAGTAGTGGTCCCAACAATGGATACAGAGGAAATAATTTCTCACGAGAGTAGAGCAAAACGAGAAAAAAGAACAAGAGAGATGTTTTCCAATCATGTGAGAAATAACGAGATTATGATGTTAACATGGGATGAATCGAACGATGAGAACGAGTTGAAAAAAAATGATGGTGATGGGAACAATGATGGGGTTGACAAAAAATCAAGTAAGGACAAAATGGAATGTGAAACAGAGCAACCTCAGTTGCCGCATGACCCTGGAGAAGAGATGGCTGAAGCTTTTGGTAATAAGGCCATGGACACTGGGCCGAGCAGCGAAAACCCAAGTCCAGAAAGTGAACAAATGTGTATTCAAAGTGACTGGTCCATAGTTCCTGAGACCCAAGTGGAGGAAGAGTGCTGATTGGTCCTTAGGCCTTCTATTTAAATCTAATTTATGGATTGCATTTTCTACTGGAATACTCGTGGGGCTTGCGGAAATGGGCTCCTACGAAATTTGAAGGCAGCTTTTAATGGGCTAAAGCCCCTTATTCTAATTCTTTCTGAGACTAGGTGTGAGGAAGAGTCCAAATTTCACTGCCTTTCTCAGCTGGGTTTTGATGGCTTTTCCTTTATTCCGAGTATTGGGAGATCAGGTGGTTTAGTGACAGCTTGGCGAAGTAATAAGGTGCAGGTTGGTATCCTCAAAACAAATCGGCAATTCTCTCTTCTCCGCTGCTCAATTCCTGAGTATGAGACTTTCCTGCTAACTCCAATCTATGCAATCCCTCATCCAAACTTGCGAGCTACTCTATGGGAGGAGTTAAAGCAGATTTCATACAATTTTTCAGAACCATGGGTGGTTATAGGAGATTTTAATGACATAGCCGATTCTTCTGAAAGAGTGGGAGGTGCACGCAGTAATCCCAATAGAATCCGCTGGTTTACTGAGCAAATTACGGAATGTCGCCTATCTGATTTGGGTTCCATAGGACCTCGGTTCACTTGGAAAGGACCTCAATTAGCTGGTTACTCAAGGTTGTTTGAACGACTAGATCAAGGACTTGCGAATAATAAATTCTTGGCTTCCTTTCCTGATTCTTTTATTAAGGTACTACCTAGAACTTGTTTCTCGGATCATAATCCTATTACTCTGTTTCTCCATGAATCTGATTTTTCCAGAAAAGGTGAAAAGCATTTTAAATTTGAGGCTATGTGGCTTGAGCATGATTCCTTTAAAGAATTTATTAAAGGTTCTTGGAAATTGAATGACAATCTGGAAAATTCCCTGGATGATTTTAGAAATGCTTTGCAAGTTTGGAATAGAGATGTCTTTGGTTATGTTGAGAAAAGGAAAAGACAGATATTGACGAGACTAAATGGAATCCAAAATTCAGAGGCTTATCCTTTTTCTAAATTTCTTTGCAACTTGGAATCTAGTCTGCAAAAGGATTTAGCAGAGGTTTTAAAGTTTGAAGAGCTAAAGTGGTTTCAAAAATCCAGATCAAACTGGATCTCTAAAGGTGATAGGAATACAAGATACTATCACCTAAAAACCAGTTTAAGAAGGAGGAATAGAGTCAAAGCTTTAAAAAATGATGATGGTGATTGGGTGGAAGATGAAGAAAGTCTGAAAACTCTCGTGATCAATTATTTTAAAAAGCTTTTCGATGAGGAGAACTTAGAGCAGCACCAACTCCAGACTATTTCGAATTTCCCTGTTGTTGATGCTGGCTGTCTCAGTAGCTTAAGCTCTACCCCTTCAAATGAGGAAATCAAAGATGCCCTCTTCTCCATGGGAGCCTATAAGGCGCCGGGTCAGGATGGTTTCTCTCCCATTTTCTTCCAATCAAATTGGAACATTGTTGGTCCTATGGTCTGTAACTTTGTCAAAGATGCTTTTCAGCACAAGATTCCTCTAAATGAGGCTAACAAAACTCTGATTTCTCTAATTCCGAAACGGGAAAATCCTTCTCTGGTGACACATTTTCGACCCATATCTCTGTGCACTGTGCATTACAAGTGCATAACAAAAGTTATTACTCAAAGGCTTAAATCGGTGATGGATGATTTGATATCTCCTTTTCAAGCTAGCTTTGTGAAAGGAAGGCATATTCAAGACAATATAATAATTGATCAAGAAATTCTGCACACCATGCAGAAAAATAGCAGCAAAGCTGGACTCATAGCTATGAAGATTGATCTAGAAAAAGCTTATGATCGGGTGAGCTGGTCCTTTTTGAAACAAGTTCTCTTTGATGCAGGAATGGAAGAGACTTTCGTTAATCTGGTAATGTCTTGTGTAACATCTGTTTCCTATAATATTCTTTGGAATGGAAGGAAGACTGATTATTTTTCTCCTCGAAGGGGCTTAAGACAAGGAGATCCAATATCTCCTTTGCTTTTTGTGCTTTGTATGGACCGTCTATCTCATATTATTAATGATGCAGTGGATAGGGGGGAATGGAAACCAATCAAAATTACAAAATGGGGACCTTCTATTTCTCATCTTATGTTTGCAGATGATTTGCTTCTTTTTGGAACTACAACAAAGAAAAAAGTGAGATGCATGATAAAGTTCCTAGATGTTTTTTCAAAAGCTTCGGGTGCACTTGTTAACAAAAACAAGTCTTCCATCTTTTTGTCACCCAGAGTACCAGCTTCTGTTAAAAGGAAATTTAGAGAGATAACTCAAATAAAGATTTCTTTTGAAATTGGGAATTACTTGGGATTTCCTCTTAGCAGGAAAAGGAAGCCAAGGGATACTTTTCAATATGTTGTGGACCGTGTTCGATCAAAACTAACAGCTTGGAAGGCAGATAGTTTATCCATGGCTGGCAGGGTCACTCTATCTAAATCTGTTTTGAGTTCCATCCCCATCTACCCAATGCAAGTAGCCCAGATCCCTAAAAAAATCTGTTCTGAGGTGGAGAGATTACAGAGGAATTTCATTTGGGGTCACTGTAACTCTAATCATGGCTATCATCCTATAAGTTGGCAGCAAGTAACGCTTCCAAAATGCTTTGGAGGTTTGGGTTTCAAAAGACTAGCCTCTTTCAACAGAGCTTGTGGAGCTAAACTTGCTTGGAAACTAGTGGTGGGGGAGGAAGGCCTTTGGGCAGAAATTCTAAGCAAGAAATATATGATGAGAGATGGGGAAAATCTGTTCAATAGATGCTCAAGCGATTCGGCCTTGTGGAAGTTTATTAGTCGTCAAGAAGAACTTGTTGAGCTTGGTACGGTGTGGAAAATCAGAAATGGGAAGTCTGTTAATTTCTTCAATGATGTGTGGCTTTTCCCTGATAAGAGAATCAAAGACTGCTGCTTACGTCCTCTTACTCAAGAGGAAAATGAAAGTATGGTAGCTGATTGGATTTTGAACGGGTCCTGGAATTTTCAGGCTTTAAGTTTGTTTGTTGACCAGAAAGTTATACAGCGACTGATTAGCCACATTCCACCTTTTGAGCCACATTCCACCTTTTGAAGATGCTGGTGATGATATAATGACATGGAAAGCCTCTTCTGATGGGCTATTCACGATTAAAAGTGCTTACAATTTAATTGAAGGAAATCCTTGTGATAAATATGACCCAGTTTTCAAATGGATATGGCAATGGAAAGGAGCTGAGAGGATTAGATTCTTCTTATGGAGAATCTATAATAACAAGCTACCAACAAATGCTTGGAGAAGCTCCTGGTCCTCTGGTTCACCTTATTGTAATTATTGTCAGGAAGGTATTGAGGATATCATGCATATACTGCGAGATTGTTATTATGCAAAGAAGATGTGGCTGGAGAATCTCAATCAGAAGGCTGTGCATTCCTTCTTCACTTTGAACTTAAAAGACTGGATCTCTTCAAACCTGAAACAAAACCTGGGCAAGGCTAATATTGAAAACTGGAAGGGTGTAGGAGTGTGGAAATTATGTGGAGGAATAGTAACTTATTTGACGAGAACTTTGTTAAACCACCTGACCCCACTTCTTATTTGAGGAATAGTTGGAAATTATTTACTCAAATGAATGATCATAAGGACGGGGGTAATTCAATTACTACTCATGGTGCTGAAACGTCCTCTTCTTGGTTTCCCCCTCCTATTAATTGGATTAAGCAGAATGTAGATGGGGCTATGGCTATGGACTCCAACAAAGCTGGATGTGGTGGATTGCTACGTGATCACAAAGGTGTTTGGATTGCTGGGTTCTCTCATCAACTTGGCCTTTGCAGTCCCCAGGAAGCAGAAGAATGGGCCATTTTTAGAGGCCTGAAATTAGCTTGGGACTTTGGCTTTAAACAAGTAATTGTGGAGTCGGATGCTAAATATCTGATTGAGCAACTAACCAGACAGAACCAAAGTAATAGTTGCAGTCTCCTGGTCCAACAAATTCTAAACATGCTGAACTTCAACTGGACTATCAAGTTAGAGTATATACCGAGGAAAAGAAATCGTGCTGCTGATTGCTTAGCCAAGTTGGGAATCTCATACTCTCAGCTTTTTGATATCTGCCCGCCTAGTTTAAAGGATTTGATAGCTGAAGAATGTTTGGGTTTCAAACCCAGTGAATCTTAATTTTATTTTTTTCGGCCTTGGGCCTTCTCTTGTAGCAAAAAAAAAAAAAACGGCTCATTATGATGTGCAATTAAGATGTTACTTAATAGCATGTCTTCAGAGAAGTTAATAAATATGCTAGCCGCCTTGTAAATTATGCACATTATATGAATGCTGCATGCTTATATCTAAGCCTTCTCATATTTACTACTTTCAATCTTAAATAATATAGAAGCCAGACAAATCATAAAGTATTCCTAGATTACTGGCCACCAAAAAAAAAAACTCACGCACACCCCCGCGCAAGGTAGTATTTTGGTACCTCGGGCTTTGGGATTAGGAGTATTATCACATGCGAAAAAACTAAAATTATGCTATCAGTCCTTAATATATAAACTAGTTAACTAATTTGAGTAGATTAAGAAAATTAGTTAAATTAGTTATTTGTAATAAATAGATATCGTCTTTCCTAAAGTATCCTTGCTAATCAAGTATATTGACTAAAACTACCATTATTATAAGAATTATCTTGAAAATAAATATAAGAGATAAAGTGAATTGAAATCTTATATTTAAGACCAAAATAAAAATTAAACAAACTCTTATATTAAATACCGGAGGTGGTATGAAATAGTAATAGTGATCAGCATTTTATATTAAGGCGGAACAGGTAAATACACCGATGAAGCTTTAAGAAACAATGCTATTTGAGTCTCCTAAAAGCAAATAACTTGCTGACCTAAGCAAAATCCTATACCAACTTTGTCAAATCCACATCTTTGTTACTCATTCTTCAGTACACTAAATGTCATAAAACAAAACTGCACAATATAAATACTTTACTATACTCATAAATGACAAGGAGACTAGGAAGCATAATAACAGGAGAATAACTTAGCAATTTACTTGCAGACTGCATGAGGCAAAGAATTTGGGATCTATAGGGCCAGAAGCTTGAAGATAGGCAAAAGAATTTTCCCAATCTGCAGAGTGATTCAACTTGAAATGCATTCTAATGTGATTATGAACAGCCCAGAAAATGCAGTGGATCTTAGAGTGGTTGGATTAGTCTGCATAAACTAAGGTGTATATATGCCTAGTTCTTGGGATAGCCAGCAAGCCAAGTATGTAAAAGAAACTTGTCTTAGGCTCACACATATTATCTCTGGGCTTGATCCGAATTAGCTACCGCATTACTTGCTGATCCATTCTCAACGGGAGGAGGCACACCCCACTTGCCTTCAGACTCAAGGGGCTCAAACACATGAACTCCGCCATCTGACAATCCTATAGCAAACTGATTTGGTTCTTGTGGATGTGCAGCGACCACAAGTGGTTGTACACTGGAACTGCTGCATATGAACCAGGGATGGGATTCAACAATACGTACTTCGTGAAAGATAATTTTATTTTTTTAAAGAAAAAAACTAGGGAGAAAAACTGAGTGGTAAAAGATGGCATACCTGACGCTGGCAGAAAGATATGAAGACGGATTGATACGACAGCGTACTCTGAGGTTTGATGCACTAAAGACAGAAACTGTTGCATCTAAAAAGCTGGCATATATCAGCTGGCTATCACATGAGAAAGTTGCAGCTGATATAGGTGCAGTAGACTCTCTTGGAATCCACTGCAGTTCAAGCTCTTTTTATCAGATGAAGGGAGAGGAAAAGATCAAACGAACACAATGCATTGAAATTACTAATTTACCAGCTTTAGACATTCTAGTTTTGTTGTTTCATATATGGCAAGTTGAGTTTCATGTACAACCAAGAACTGTATCTGATCCTGCTGAAACTGTACACGGGTTTCTGCCTGTGCCGCTGGAGTCTTCCCTGGAGGAATCTGCAAGAATCTACTCTTCTGCTTTTCCCATCCATCAGTATTCCACACACAAAGCTGAACAGTTAATAAGAACTTGTGAGGACAGATTTCATGGCTTGCTGAAAAGAGATGAATGCTTCATGAAAGCCCAGTTAAAGACCGTAATAGAAGTTCCAGCAAATAACCATTCTAAAGCATGATTCTAAAGACAGATCAACGAAAAATAATAACAACAATAACCTGAGCATCTGCCCCAGATGAAACTAACACATTCAGTGCATGAGAAAAAGCAAGGCCGGTTATTCTTTTGGTGTGACCTTTAAGTTTGCTTTTAACCTGCACAAAAAACTCAGCGTAAACCTTAAAATATCTTATATCTTAAACCATAAGTAAGAAAGCAAACTCTTAACAGACAGCATTGCTACCTCATCCACACGGACATTATATATCTGAATGGAGGAATCATCCATCCCAATAGCTATAATATTGTTATCCTGAGGGTGAAAAGCAAGAAATGTTGCTGCAGGTGGTGGAGGCATGAAAGTTGTCATTGTCTGCAAGGCCAAGAGTAAGGTTGGTTAATTTCATCACGGAAAAAATCCATAAGCGAATAGGGGCCATAAGTCACCTTAAAGGTCATCATATTGAACAATGAAATCTTCCCTCCTGATGCTGACATCACATAAGAATCATTTTTGGAGAGAGCAAAGCAAGGCACAGCATCCTCAGGATTGCTATCAGAAATGTCATTGGTCATCAGGATGCCACTTGTTGGTTGCCACAAGTGTGGAGAGACACTGGCAGTGGCCTACAGGATGAAGGACCAGAATGCAGAAACAACGTCACTGTTATTCCAAATTTTGAGTGAAGGAAATTCTGACAAACACCACACATTCTCACCTTGCCAGAAGAATTTCGGTCACTTCGCTGCCATTTCCAGAGCAGATGAACTGCATCTGATGATAATGCCAGGATGGCATTCCCTGAATTTGTATATATCAACCTTGATATCTGTTGGAGCAAGAGAAGCAGAACAATATGATTTTTCAAGAGGGCAGAGAAACATTATGAGAAGGAAGTTCAAGGAAGGATTGATACAATATCCAATTGGCGAAGTTAACATAAATGAATACACACACACACAATATGAACAAAACTGACCAGGAAAGGCAGCATGTAATCTGATTTTTTTTTTTTTGTTTCATGCGCTAATGCTGAACTTTATGCCGTCTTAAGCAGTTATTCAAATAACATAATGGAGTTTTGTTGCCTTTAAAAATTTCTATTTGACGGGCTAGCATTTTTAAGGCAGAAAAAGAAAAATACCTGGAAGATTGCTACTTGAAATGCCAAGGTAATCAATTCGATTAAAATTTTGAAGGACAAATACTGAGTGCAAATACTAAGAACTTAACCTTGGTTACTCTCAGATTCTCAGGTAGCTTCAAGGATCTACATTGAGATGGTTCATTGATGTCAGTGGCCTTCCATATCTTTGACTTGTCATTGGATTCTTCGGCTATTCTAGGTTTAACATCACCCATATTCCGAGCATCCCCATTCTGGTGAAATAAGATTCACTTGTAGTTATTAGTAATAACTATATGGGAAAATAAAATTAAAAGGATCATCCTACTTTATTGGGAATGGAGTATAAAATAATGTACTAATGAGCCAAAAATATAAACAAGAGTTGCATCTTAGCATTAGTATAAATTAAAAAGCAAATGACGTGTCCTATTTATATGAGGACAAGAATGACAGACCATTCCTGCAATAGCTACTACAGACAAGCCCCTCTCTGCAAGCGCAGCACCACTGGCAGCGGCAGCAGCAGCAGCAGCTGAAATTGGATTCATTGTGGGCTGCAACAGAACATTGCATGTTAATATAGGTTAACAAGTCAGAGAGAAGGAAACCTTGACATCTACAAGTTTACCTTTATGGCTTCAGATGTTCTGGATGCCTCGTATGCAGAATTTTCTAATGTCCGTAAAAATCTTATTCCATCTGCATTGGCTAAAATTTTAATTCCATTCTCATTTGCAGAAACAGCTAAGAGGGTTCCATCCTTGTTGAAACGGATGCGTGGGCTTGTCTAGAAATCAAGAATGCAACAACAAATTACTTTACGACTATTTCCAGATAGCAATTTTCCAATTTGCAAAAAACAGAAGGAACCTACAGGTAGACCTCCATCAGCATCAATAGTTGTCAAAAGTTGAACGTTGTCCATATCCCAGAATTTAATGGAGAAATCATCACCAGCAGCCAAAAATCGATTTTTTGTTGTGTCAAATTGCACAACACCCAGCGATTTTTTACGAAATCCTTGATATGTCCTTTTGACAGCTCCTTCACTTTCATTCCATTCAACAATTGAGGATTCCCCCTCCTTGCTTGTCCCACATGAAAAGAGCCTAGAACATACATTAACCAGAAGCACTTTTACACAAGCTATGAAATTGACATTATAATTTAACGATAAAGCAAAAAACAGAACAAGTAGTCATGGTTTAGAATCTAGACCTTGTACCATCAGCACTGTAAGCCATGGTTGTGCACCAACGACCAGGAGCATCGTAATCAACACGAGAACCCAAATTGTCGTACAACCATGCTTTTATTTTTCCATCTAATGCTGTTGAAAATATAAACTGCACCAACAAAGCATAGAGCATCAGAAAGGTAAACCAACTGGGAAAAATGGGATAGCTAAAGGAATCATATTAGCTCCACTAAAATGCCTAGCAAAGCTTCTAAAGTTAATTTTCAACCTGAATGTTTTCTTTGTAATGAGGACAAACAGAATAGACTGGAGCCTCGTGACCTTCAAAAGTAAACTGTTTTGTACCAGTAGCAGCGTCCCAAACCTTAAATTCAAACAAATAGTTATAAAAATTTATCAACTTCTTCATTTAGGAAAACCAAACTCACTTTGACAAATACAAACTTACCTTAATGGTCTTATCATCACCACAAGTTATGACACACAACTGCTTATTTGGGTGGGAAAATGCAAGATCATTCACTCCACCAACATGAGCATCAATCTACATAAGAGGCTCACAATTGAATAATCACAGAACAAATGGGCATCAATTAAACAGAAAGCAAGCTGAGAGAAAATATTCTCCACAATATACCTCCAGGTGTTGGCGCACCTCATCCCCACCATTGTATGAGTATATCTGAACAATATGCCTTGAGTAAGCAACGCCTGTCAATTGAATAAACAGAGACATTAGCACTGGATCTGGCTGGTTCTTACAAGTGCATATTAATCACATAATTAAATTCAACATTGAACTATCGAAGTGACTGAAGACTCTTAACTTACCAAATAAGCCACCATCAGGACTCCAAATCACACGGTTGACAGAAACAATGGGATCTTTGACAAGAGAAGCCTGATTTTAATCATTATTAGTTTTCAATTCAGTAGTTGCAATATTACCAATCTAGGATTTTGGCGCATATATACATTAAGGACATCAATGAACAAGAAGAGAGAACCTGAAGTGGCATTGAGCAGGCACTTAGATCCCAAACTTTAAAGTTCCTTGAGACCAATCTCTCTCGAGAGCCCACTTCCCACAAAGATATGTCCCCCACATTGGTACCAACTGACATATAGCATTAAAAAAACAAAAATTACCATCAATTGCCAATATAAGCAGCAGATACATGTAACTAATAAGCAAGTCAATGAGACCATCAAAAGGCCTTGGAATAGAAGCAGACCAAGAAGTAAACTCTGTTGAACTGGATGGAAGTCCATGCTCATTGGAGATGAACCCTGATTCAGAGTTCGTGTAACAGTCTTTGGTAAGTCATCAGGTGCATTGAAAGATTGTCCATGCCCATGACCTGGTAATGCAGCTGGCAACACATTAACAGGTAGATTCACCTGCACAAAATGATTGAACATTGATAGTATAAATGTGAGAGGTCAGAATTTTCTTACAGCCAATTTGATAAAATAATAAATGTAAATTAGTCTTCTAGAGATACTTAAATTTATGTGACACGGTTCTCATCTATGTTTTAAAAAATGTAAAATCCTATCTGATGAAATCTAAAATATGCATTATATTCTTGAAACATATAATCTGCAAGTAGATATGTACTAAAGATATTCTGATAACTACTCCGTAAAAGCGTTAAATTATATTGGACTAATATAAAATACAGAAAATTTTATATCTTTTAAACTATAAAATTCTATAAGCATTTGATAAAATCATAAAATATATTATAAAAAAGGAAATATCCAAAATCTTAATATTTCGTAATTAACTGATAAGTAATTTAAATTTAATGTTTTAGTTTCAACAATAACATTTGTATTAAATCTACATTAATAAACATAAGCAATGATATAGCAAATTTTTATAATAAATTAAACTTACGATTTTAAGGTAAAATAAAATTAGATTATGAATTATTTTTACGAAAAGCAATTAAAGAACGATATTATTCTTGAGTTCATTGCAATCATCTTCTGGTTTCAAGTAAATAAGTGAATAGTTCCAAAACAGAAATGAGATTCATATAATTTAGGCACCTCTTAAGGAAGAGGACAATGATTTATCCAGTAGTAAATGCCAAGAGTTACAACACAAGGGCATAAATAACTGGTACTCAAATTACCTCATCTGGCATTCCCAGTGGCCTTGGTCTCTTAGATACGTGGTCAGAATCTCCAGATGGGTATTCAACAGATGGGTTAGTTGGAGGGGTCCTAGGGTGCTTCAAAGCAGCTTAAAAAGAAAATAAAGCATGTTCAAGTTCACAGATCATACTAAATATAGCATTCAATAATCAAGCACTTCCACAAATTAAGACTAGGAGATAACAGAAAGCAAAACAATGCATTACCAGAGATTGAAGGAGCACCGAGACCTATAGCTCCTCCTCCAGAAACTGCAGGATGAGCTACAGTGGCAGGATTTGACATCCAGCCTGCCAGGGGTGCTGGCATGGGTGTTGTGGTAGGTTGAAATGGCTATATACCAATTAAGCCCAACACAATAGTCAGCACCAAAGTAAAGACCACAATAAAAACAAAGAGGAATTAAGCAATGCCTATAAAAACAGTGGAATGCAGATAATCAGTTAGTAGCCTACCCCATGTGCACCTAGAGGAGGAAACCCTCCAGCCTTAGGTAAGGATCCAAGTAGGGGATTATTAGCCGGAGATGGAGCCCGTGCACCATTTGGTTGTCCACAAGAGTGATCCACAAAAAGAGTTTTAATATCTGGATTTGACCGTGGATTCTTACAGAGCTGATGCTGCCAATTCAAGCTGCGATTATAAAAGATTAGAAAGTTAGAAAGGACTAAGACAAAAACATACTACGCAAAAGCATAAACAGTAGCTCCACTTTCTCACCAATTTACAATGCCCAGATGAATTGAAGAACACACTTCTCAACCAAAGACTACAATACATTGTACAGGAGATATATTCTATTTAATAAAGGAGATATATTCTATTATTCTATTTAATAAAGAGTTCAATGGCTTCCATCCAAAATAAATAAATAAAGAGTTCAATGGCTGGAATAAATATCGCATGTATACACCAATGCTCAAAGAATTCTGAAATTGAAGAATAAGCTAATTCAATGGTAAACAAGGATGCCAGAAACAATCTCACTGCCAGGATGTCCTGAGAAGTTATTTCACATACAGTGCACAGTTTTTAAATTGAGTGTTATAGCACGTTGGATTTTGATCTTTTGAGTAGTTTACCTTTGATTGATGAGAGTTCGTAATCTTGAATTTTTAAGGTTGGGAAACTGCAATTTGTCACGGAATAAGGGATTTGCTTCAATCAGCTTTTTAAGCTCAATCAACATGATTGCCCTTGCAGACTTTGTATCACCGTACTTTGACAATTGTTCATTTTCCCTGTAGTATGAGAAATTCATTGTCTGCGTCTACAGAAATTTTACAGTAAATATGGAACAAAGTATATATATGCGTGTATATATATGTACCTAAAATTATCCAATGTCAAGAGCTGTGTGATTTCCTTGAATAGGTCTTCATTGAATGTGGAAAAAACTTTTAAATCCTTCACCAATATTTCTACAGCCTTGGACCTGTCGTGCCTACAAAAATTTAAACAGTTCAAATTAAGGTCTAATTTTCTGACATTAACTGCCAACCAAGTCTAAAGGGACTTGTAAGCTTACTTATCTAATGCTTCGAGGTATTTCTGCTTCCTAATCTCAAAAAATATCTTCATTGAATACCGATTATCATCAACTTTTGTGAAACCAGAGAGATATCTTTCAACCTCATCCCAATTGCCATTGTGCACTTCATCCTCAAAATATTTCATATTAAAGAAAAACCCAGACTCTTGTTCAAGCCTATTATTACAAGAAAGGAGAAAAAAGAAGTGGTAAATGTAGTATTTATAAATAAATATTAAAAATGATCATAAATAACAAACTTAAATGGCATAAGCCCCACTTGTGAACAGTCTCTTTGAACTTTTCCTCTTCCAGAAACTGTAAAATCAAGAACACCAATTCTCTACTGAGAGACGACATCGTAGCCGGCCCAGGTTCGATTAGAAGGAAAGATGCAGGGATGAGCAAAAGCAAACTAGATCTGCAAATCTCACATGAAAAAAAAAGTTAGAGAAATCGAGCAGCGTTACAAATCAGATGAAACGATTAACAATTCGAATCCAAAACATGAATGAAATCATTAACTAAACTAGACCCAGCGTAGCATTTAAGAAAGAAAACTACCAGAATTGCAAATTTATCTAAAAATCAGGCAAGCAAGGAAAAGTGCAAAACGAGTTGACTCTGTCGCGGACGATCAAAGAGGACAAGAAAGTAGCTTTAATCTATATAGGAATCCAGGATGCAAGAGAGGAAAAAGCTTCAAAAAGAGAGAGAAAATAGAAAGAATGGAGAAAACAAAATAAAATCACATGGAAAAGTCTGTCGACTCTAAAGCAACAGATTCGGAAATTAAGAGTGATTCCTGAGGAAGTTCTCACGTCTCTCACCTTCAAAGCCAGAAAACACACGCACCAGAACAGAGCAGAGGGGGCGAGCTTTCTATCTCCTGAATTTTCTCTCTCCTGAATGGACTATTATACTCGCCTTCTCACTCCTCAGAAAAACTCTCTCTAGAAATATTTACAGGACATTTGAACTTGCAGATGTGTTTTTTATATAGGATACAGCAGATTGGCGAGATGATAAGCCAAGTGACATATCGTTGATAGGTTTGCGTATGTATGATAAGCTATTTGATATCTTTGAGTACTTATATTATACGTGCAGTTATTTTGGGGCCCACGAAGCCGGCTTCAATTTCTCTAGTGGAGTCGGCTCGGAATCTTGAGCTGACAGCTGTCGTTCAGCTTGGAGTAAAACTTGCACAGTACTAGACAATAACTGTTTTTTTTTTTTAATACAACGGAAAGAAAAGTACGACTCCTCTGGTTTTTTTTATAAGATATTTTCAGTATGTTTCACACAAATTAAAAAAAATTTTAAACTTTATTAATTCTCATTTAAAATTTAATAACTTTCTAATTTTATTCCTATTTAATCTACATTATACCTCATGTAAATAAAGGTTAAAATTATATATCCATATAAAAAATTTCTCTCAGTACCCTATAAATAGGATTAAAAAATGTCTTTTCTCTCTACCCTATAAATAGGATTACAGGAGTAGATTATTACTCTGTTATTAACTGATTAGATCTTCAATAAATTTTTTTTAATAATATCAATTTATATTATATTAAATATTTTAAATCTAAAATATCTTCCCTGAATCTAATCTAAAGTTTGTCGCAACGACCAACCGAATCAGTATTTGCAGAAGAAAGCCTTTGTTATTTGTTAAAAAAATATTTACCTTTCATTAATTAAGACCATCTTTAATCTAAAATATATATTTACTCCTTTAATTTTATACATGATTTTAATTTAACTTCTTAACTTTAGAAACTATAATTTTAGTCATTTAACTATAAAAGTGTTAAAAAAAAAAGAAATTAAGATCTTAAATATTAATAAAATATTCTCAAATGTTAATATATTAAACAACCATGATTATTACTAAAAATATCATTTAAATTTAATGATTTTAGGGTTAAAAATTAAAAAATATGCTTTTTAAAGTTAAGAAAATAAATTAAAATATTGTATAAAGTTAAAAAGTTAAATGTATATTTTAAGGTTGTGCTGACCTTAAAGAATACAAAAATTACTCTTTCTTTAAATAAAATATTTTTATATATAAAGTTTAGAATTTCAAATCAAACGCCCGCATCTTCTCAATGAGGTCAATTCAAATCTCAAAGAATAAACTTTAGTATACATTAAAAAAGTTAGATTTAGTATACTTACAAATTAATTACACACCCAAACGATTCAAAATATGAGCATAAAAAGTGTACATTTGATTTGATTTCGTTTTTAGGTGGAAAATCTAGCATTTAATATCCTAATGTTATATTTGGCCAAAAAAAAAACCTAATGTTATTTTCTAATATCATCTAGTATTCTCCTTTCATTTTATGATGCATCTAACTAATGTTTTTTTGGTACACCTAGCATTTTTGTTATTATTTTTTCTGTTGTATCCAACATGGCAACACGTGACTTTTAGTTATAGTTTTGGCTACCCAATGCACTATAAATAAGATTAAGGTGGTGAAAGTATCAAAAAAATAATATTCCCTCTAGTTATTATTATAAGCTTCAAATAACTAATTCATGGATAATAAATAATTAGCTAAAATTAGTTAAAAGTAATAAATATGTTAAAAATATAATTTTGTTTTTAAATATACCCTTACAATAAATGAGAAAAAGAATGAAAGCGAGTGTGTGGGAAATGTAATAAGAAAGAGTATGACAAATGAAACAAAAAAAATGAATAAGAGCAAAATAAGAAAAATGCATTAAATGTTACTAAGACAATTCCAAATAGAAGTTTATAAAATGGACTATACGTCCATACTCCTATCCAAATTTAAAGCTTATATATAGAACCAAAAGGAGTATCAGGATGTTTGATGCATTATAAATAAGATTATGGTACTAAAAGTATTATAAAAAAAAAAAAATCAAAGTGCTACATGCATAATAAATAAGATCAAGATGCTACCGCAGGGTTGGGTCCGACTGGTCGCAAACGGGGGCGCAAGGCGCGTTCCCCTACCGGGTCATGGGCTCGATTCCTGGCGAGGCACCCTGGGATTAGTCTGGCCGATATGCTGGGATACCCTGAGTTAGCGATAACATCCTACTCAAAAAAAAAAAAGATCAAGATGTTGAAAGTGTTAAAAAAATCAAGTTAATGGATACACAATTAAAAAAATAATATCAGGATGTTAAATGCTGCTTTACCATAACTTATACTACCTCCGGTCTTAATTATAAGAGCCAGTTGACTAATTTAAAGAGATTAATGAAGTAAGTTGAGTTAGTTATTTATCCTAAACAGGTGTTGTATTTCCTAAAATATCCTTACTGATCAAGTGTATTGACTAGAACTATTATTGTTAGAATAGCTATTTTGGAAAAAAAAAATATAAATATGAAAGACAAAGTGGACTGGGGTCTTATATTTAGGACCAAAATAAAAATCAAATAAAATCTTATATTAAAGATCGGAAGTAGTATTTTATGGTGGTACAAATTTTGTATTTTTTTTAATTATTTAGAGGTAGATCAAGTTGCTTGGATTCAGATAGAACGGTGGATAGACATGAACAGTTTCATGACGTGACCAACCAAAAAAAAAGTTGTCCCTGTTTTGTTAAAAAACAAAAAATATACTCCTCCTGTCATTAATATAAGACCCATTTAACTAATTTGATTAGATTAAGAAAGTTAGGTAAGTTAGTTAATTATAAGAAAATTGACACATTTTTCCTAAAACACCATAATCATCTTTCTTAATACCCCTATCTCTCTTTTACTTAATTATAGTTGAGGGAGTATCTATAGGGGTAATTTAGAAAAAATTGATAAATATAAGAAATGGGTCTTATATTTAAGACCAAAACCAACTCAAAAATTGGGTCCTATATTAAGGACCGGAAGAGAGTAACAAATTTGCCAAATAAATAAACAATTTCTTATTTTTCTCGTGAGGTAACAATGTGGCTTTAACGTTGACCGATCGATTCATAAATTAAGTCAAAAATGTCGGTCTGGACCGCTGGTGATAATCGAGAGATGTGGGCACTTTAATTGGCCGTTGGATTCTGACATCGGACGGATGAAAAGTGAGTGTGAAGGAAAAGAGTACGAATAGATCCCGCAGGTGACACCCAACTATTGTTTTCAAATCTAATTATAAAATCTTATTTATAAATTATAAATAAGGTTTGATAATTAGAAGAGAACAAGATGTCGGAACGTTTGGCCCTCTATATTGAAGAATATTACGATGCCTGCCATCTTCATGTGTGTCAGTCAGCTAATCAAGAGATATGCGCACTTCCATTGTATCACGTGATAGACAGGCATACTTTATGATTGCGATACGAGATGACGATATATTGAAGTATGTGTTCGGGTTCCTTTGTCTCTTGAAAGGTGCTTTTTCCCTCCTCTTCTTGCGAATCTTGAAAGCTGCTCCTATTTTTTTAATTATATACTCTTTTCAGTTTAAAATATAAAATAAATTTTATTTATTTATATTTATTAAAAAATTAGTTTAAAATAATAAATATGTAAGATATGTATTTTTTTAAATATGTCCTTATTAATAAAAATAAGTAAACAAATAATAAATAAATCAAAGAGGAAAGAGAATATATGTTAGAGATAAAATTAAAAAAAACTTATTAAATGTTCAGAAAAATTGAATGTTATTTTATAAAAAAAAATCAAGTTTCTCCAACAAAATTTATTTCATATTTTAAACCAGAGGGAGTACTAACAAAAATAAGGGTGTGTTTGGATGAAACCAAATCATGGTTTGGAAAATAGCTTATGGAGAATAGATTCTGGAAAAAATAGATTTTGTGAAGAATAGATTTTGTGAAAAAGTGATTCTGATAAATGAGAGTGTTTGGATAGTTGTTATCAGAAAAACTTTTTATATGTACAAATTTTACTAAAAAATATATAAGTTAATATGATAATTACATAAAAGATAGATTTTATAATATATTTTAATTTGAAAAAATAAAATTGTTAATAATATAATTTTTTACCAACATAATTAATAATATATAAAATAATATAATTAATATGTATATATAGTTATAAAATATAAGATTAAATATGTTTATAAAAAATAATTGAGGAATGTTAAAATCATATTATCGTTGAGACCTACTCTATAGGTACAATCATACTCTCCCATTTGAGCCAGAAGTAGAATGAATTCACTTCTTCTGAAACCATAGTTTTGAGCTCCAAACCATGGTTTTGATCCAAAACCACGGTTTCTGTTTTTTCCTGAGTGTTTGGCAAGTCTGAGACCCAAACCATAGTTTTGGGTCTCAAAACCAGGGTTTTCTATGTTATCCAAACAGGCCCTAAGTTACTATTTTTTTCTAATGAGAGACATAAATAAACAAATAGAGTCCAGCATGGCTCGTTGTTCATACCGTATACAAAGCATGTTATTAAAGCTCGAGTCAATTGCTTGGATAAGTGAGCTGGTAAATCGGTTCAATTAAAAATTTTGAATTAATCAAATAAGTGTGAAAAAAAAATTTTTACTTGTTTAACTTGAAAGGATGTTATTTTGAGGTGAAAAAAATAGCAGTTCATTAGACATATTTTATTAAACTATTTATAGTTTGTACATAAATGTTTCATTTACATAAGAATTAATGACTTTTTACCTTTTTTCACCCAACAAAAAGACTTTTTACGTTGGCAAACAAAATTAATATCTTTTCATTTTTTATGAATTTTTTTTAAATGTTTTGAACGAATAAAAAAAGGTAAAGGCAAATCCAACAACCTATTTTTATTTTTCAAGTACATTTAGCACCCTAATCTCTTACATGGTGCATTCAGCACCATCATTTTATTTTAATTGCATGGTGTTGAGTGCACTAAAAATAAGATGAGGGTGCTGATGGCATCATATAAAAGATGATACCTAAAAGATAATATTAAAGTATT